TTCAATTGTTTCTTGCTCAGACAACCGAAACATAGCGTTATTCATCGAAGAAGAATAGCCGTAATCTTGATTAGGCGATATTGTTTAAAAATCGATCACATGTAAAATTATTTATTCAAGCCGAGCGATTTTTTCATAAAACTTTACCAAAATCTCGAAAATTTGAGCTAGAGAAGGGTTCTCTGCTTATAGCTGAGTGTTTTTCCATACATAATTAATTTTTTCGAAACAGAAAATTGAAAGGAAACAGATATATTCCTCTATAAGCCGAGATATTGCATGCAGAAATAAATTAACAAAACAAGTTGAAGTTGGTGATTGAATTTATTTATGTGGTGGCTTACCGAAAACGACAAATCGCCCCGATTTGTCGTTTTCGGTAAAGACGGCTTACTGTTTGTCCTTGGTGTCGGCGTCGAATTCGTCGTCCACCTCCTCCTCATCGCTAGTTCTGCTGTTTCTTCCGAGTAGATTGCTTCATCTTCAGTAACGTCTAGAGTGTTAGAAATTCTGCAGGCATAGATCTCGCGAAAGTGTTTTAAGAATTTCGAAACTGACCAACCAGAATTGCCCATTCCCACGATTGGTAAACAAACTCGTCACATATTACGGTGTTGAAATCTGCGAGTGGGAGTGGAGTGGGCCATTTCTCCAGCATAAACCCATTATCTGTACTAGCCACTTCCAACATGGTATTCGACTTTGGTCGGACTGCATCAGCAGTTTACAAAGAATCGAAGTTCGAGCCGTTTTGAACGTTTTGTTTTGTAGTATTGCTGAGTATTTTACTCGTTGTTTAATTGTCTTCTGACTCGCCTTACGGGCTCGTCAAAATACGGTACAACTCGGTACAACTCGTAAAAATACTCAGCGATACTTCACATGAAACGTTTAATAAGAAACTACCCTGCGTTTCATGTGAAGTATCGCTGAGTATTTTACGAGTTGTACCGTATTTTGACTCGCCTTACGGGCTCGTCAAAAGACAAACAAGTAAAATACCCAGCGATACTACAAAACAAAACGTTCAATAAGAGGTAATAAGATACATATATTGTGTGCATTTGTATTGTACAGTATTGAGATCATTCGCTAGATCATTAGCATCGATATAAATAGCCCACTCACTCCTTGTATAGATATCATCTTCCCTCTCAATCTATGATCACGCATTGAGTCCCCTTTAGAATATAAATTCCACTCATGGGGCATTTGTGGCTTATTTGGTTAAAGCGCCCAGCTAGTTTCTGGCAGGCGCGGACTCGAATTTCTTGAATTGTAACACAGCTGTGAGGATCATTTCTTAAATTCGTTCTTATGCAGGCCAAAATACGATGCATTTTGGCTAAATTTGAAAAAAAATATTGCTTGCCTTTACTCGCATGACTGGAGGGCGAGCGGAGTCAAACGATTTAACTTGATTTACGTATCAGTTGTGGTTCAGTCTCCTGCTTCAAGTAAGAAGTGGAAACACTTTCAAATTGCGAACATATATGCAGGTTGTTTAAAAATATGGTAAAGACCTATTTTTATTTACTTTCAGAAAGAAAACCGCCTGAATAGCTCATGTTCATGTAATCTTTATATGTATCCAGTCTCCTACAATACCACCTCTTATTGTTTATTCATATGATATGCGTTATTAACCATGCGCGAGGTCAAGATGGCTGGATAGTGGCCGCGTTC